GTTTCCTATGTATTATGATAGGAGCTTTTTTTGGTTAAGAAAAACCGAACCTCTTCTTAGGACGAATGATATCTATATTTATCGATGATGCTCATCAGGGTAGATTCGTCACTTTAAGGAGTGTGTGGCATGTGACGGCTGGGTGAGCTGGAGGTTGACCCATTCTTTGTTACGAACGTGTTAGCTCGCGATTGTCGGGCAGTCGTTTTCGTGGCATGGGAACTTGCAGCCGACCAAGGCTGAGTTGGTGGGCGAGGAACGGTCACTTTAGTGGCATGGGGAACTCGCAGCCGACCAGGGCTGAGTTGGTGGGCGAGGAACGGTCACTTTAGTGGCATGGGGAACTCGCAGCCGACCAGGGCTGAGTTGGTGGGCGAGGAACAGTCACTTCAGTGGCATGGGGAACTCACAGCCGACCAGGGCTGAGTTGGTGGGCGAGGAACAGTCACTTCAGTGGCATGGGGAACTCGCAGCCGACCAGGGCTGTTGGTGGGCGAGGAACGGTCACTTCAGTGGCATGAGGAACTCGCAGTCGACCAGGGCTGAGTTGGTGGGCGAGGAACGGTCACTTCAGTGGCATGGGGAACTCGCAGCCGACCAGGGCTGAGTTGGTGGGCGAGGAACGGTCACTTCAGTGGCATGGGGAACTCGTAGCCAACCATGGCTGAGTTGGTGGGCGAGGAACGGTCACTTCAGAGGCATGAGGAACTCGCAGCCGACCAGGGCTGAGTTGGTGATCCTTCGATATGGATAGGATCGGCTGAGTCTGCTCTTCGAGGAAGGCTATCAACCCGATTGGAAGGAACGGCTGCTTTCGGGATGGCATACGTGTGGAGAACAGGGAATATCCCCATAACATTAGAAAACACCCAAAAAATAGTATAGAAAGATTTTAGAACAGTCGAAAAACACGCGACTAATAATAAGTTTAAAATATATTACAAAAAGTATGAAGAGTAATTCTCTATGTGAAGAAAGCACAAGACAGGCCATCTCAAACGCGCACATATATACTCAATAAACCTCACTCATATACAAAGTCCAAATCAAGGTGTTTCATGACCCTCTAATAAATTGAGTCATAAACCTAAGCTTAGATCACCTCATGGGTGGCATAAAAGCTTTATCTTTCACATGCCAACGTAATAATTAACATGAGCACACGGCTATCATTGAATAAACTTTGCTTATAAAAAGGTTTATCAACTAGCTCATCTAGTGATCAATTGACCATTTGCATAGCTAAGTTAATATCATGACCTATATACATACGAGGTGATCTCATAATACCCATTGTTTAGAAAACAATGATTAGTAATTAATTGCCATCACTAAGTGAAACACAAATGTTTGACCTATTGTTCCTCATGCAGTAGACAAATTTGAGAAGGCAAGTAAACAGGCAGTGTTTCACTTGAGTGTGTAAGAGGAGACATAGGTCTTCTTCATGGACCACAAATAAAATATACAGCCTAAGAAGTATGCTATATATATAATTTGGATGGAAATTGTTATTTTATCAGTAGTTGATGGATAAGGACCTTATGTCATTAGGGACATCTTATCCTTCCCTCTTATGAAGTAAGCTTGGAATTAGACACCACTAATATTTATTAAAATATTAAGATGTGTACCCTCGATAATTGGACTCTAGCGGTGTTTGGGATGAGCTATATATAAGATAAATTAGTAGGGCCTATAGTAGGAAGCAAGCGATGTGGAGAGTGATGGGCACTAGCAAATGAGGGGTCCTTGAGAAGTCATGAAAAACTTTGACTCTTAAGAGAGAACCATGATGCTACGGCTAATTCTCTCACATTTTTTTTTTCAATTTTTTTTTCTAAAGTTTGGTGAGATCTGCTTACATAAGTGAATCCATACCTAACCAAATGGTGCTTGGTCCACCTTAATTAGCATGGGTTTGAGCAGTGGCGGATCTACAACATTTTTGGTGGTGGTTCAAAATATACACTAAATTTTTTTCTCAAATAATAGCAGGTGGGAAAAAAAATGAAGGAAGGGTTATTAAAGAGAAAAACAATCATTTTTAAACAATGATTTGACTTATATATATAAGAAACAAAAATATTTATAGAAGGCCTTAAAGAGGTAGACAGAACAAAGGGATAAAATGAAAGGAAAAGAAGAAGAAGAAGAAGAAGAAGAAGAAGAATAGAGGGGAGGTAAAAGGAAAGAAGCCTAAAAGAGAAATTTTCGAAGGCTGGATGGTTTGAACTCCAGACCTCTTACAAAATGTTACCAACTACAATACCACTAGGCTATAGAGAACTTTTGTATGAGGTGGTTCAAGTGAACCACTTTGAACAAGGGTGGGTCTGCCACTGGGTTTGAGCAAATTGCTAAAGAAAGTAACAATACCTTGAAATTGAAGATGATGAAATGAGTACGTGAAGGTCCCATATATGGATTTTAAAATTTTGCTCAAATTAAATAGTATTATCTCAAATTCGGAGATGAGGGAATGAGCAAATTAACGTCTCATGGATGCACAAAGTTGTTCGAAATTAATATTATCTTAAAATTTGTTGAAGATGATGGAATGACTAAATGTTGCAAGGACACCCCTTTGCGCTTCTTTTCCTCTCTCTCTCACACAAATATTTTTAACGCATGCGTCCTCTCTCTATACGTTAATATGCATGTCTACACGCACGTAATTGAAAAATACATGCAGAGATAAAAAAAGAAAAAAAAGTATATATGGCCGCAAAACCTAACAAAGTTATTGAGTGTTCTTCAAGAGTGGTACAAAACTAACTGTAACTTTTTGCCTACTATCTAACTAAGAAAGTGACAAGACCAATCAATATTTGTGGGGGATAAGAACCACAAGTCCATCTCTAATAGATAAGGCTTGATGATTAGATTAATACGTTTTCAACTTAAATTTTTTTTTTTACAAAGTGAGGTCCAAATTCTATTAGGGGGTGTTTGTTTAGAATCCTATAATTTTAGGATATGAATTTTCACCGTGGAATTTGAAATCCATAGGTTTTTTAACATGGGTTGGGATTTCTAAAATGTTGTTTGTTTCATCAATATTTTGGGATATGTAATCATATAATTTGTATTTTGTTTGTTCAAACTCGAATTGTAGCATTACAAAATTTAGAATTTGAAACATAGCCTAAATCCTCTCTTAAAGAGGGAATTTCACAAATGCTATAATATATTAGTTTTTTATTATTTGGGTATTCGATATCCCAAAATTTATTTTGAATCAAACAAAGTTTATGGAATCCACAAACTCAAAAAAAAAAACTCACTTTTTTCATCCTAAAATTTGTAATCCGCCCTGTATCCCAAAAAAAAATTGAAACAATTACAAGTTCAATATAATATAGACTCTAATTTAAAGAAGGAAATCAGAATGGACCAGGCCTAAATTAAGGATACTGGGCCTTTACAGAAAGCCGAAGAAAACCTGAATAGTGTTTAGCGGGCCTTTTGGTTGTAGATATTTTGTGCAGAGAAACGGTTAAATTGTAGGGTTAACTTGCTCAACTTTTCTCAGTGCAACTGCATCTTTAAAAACAATAAATAGCACACGTTGGATTTATATCTCCTCAAATCTAAATCCAGCCAAAATGAACGAATTTTGCTGAAAAAATCTATCCGAAATCCAATGGAATCCGAGCTGGGGAATAATTTTTTTTGACCGTATTTGTTTTTTATATCCCCATTAGGGACTAACTTAAAATAATCCAGATTACTGTTTTCTTTTATGGGGGATTATAACTATTGAAACTATTATCATAATCAAAATAATTTTTTTGATCCTCAAATCAACTAATATCGTATCAATGCATCTGTTTGGCAAAAACAGTCACAAATCTGACATCATGACCTTAGTCGAAAAATAGACGTACAACACTACCCGTATTATGATAAAATAAATAAACTTCTTAATCATTTAACAACGGGCTTTGTCTTTTATTTCAAGTGTTTTTTTTTGCTCGCTAATCTTTTCACCACCAGTTTAAAGCGGCACATAGGGGTGGAAACGAAGCGAATCTGAACGAACAATGCCTTATTCGAATCCGAATTCGACTCAATTAGCGGTATTCGTATTCGTGTTCGAATTCGACTCGAGTAATATTCAGAATTCGAATTCGCTTCATTTAGTTGTGTTCGTGTTCAGTAACTATTCGTAAACATTCGACTAACAATATTTCATATTTTAGTATAAAATTATTCATTAACTAAGTTGTTAAACTAAATGAATATGGAAATACAGACTCAAACAAGTACACAGATTAATTGCAAAAGGATTTTTTTATCTTTCCAGTGAGAAAAATTAAAGAATCACGACACAAAATCTCCAAGATCTACAGAGATCGAGGGAAGTGGGCGTCGTCGCGGGGAGGGACGAGTGCGTCGTCGGAGAGGGAGGAGGGCGTCGTCGCGAGTAGGGAGGAGCACAAGCCGTCGACAAATGGAGATGAGAGATGGGGACGTGGGGAGTTCGGCTGCCTAATCTAGGGTTTATGAGATGACAGAAAGCTATTTATATTGGGTTATGAGGTGTTGGGAATAAATCTGAACCGTTTTTTGATGATCCAAAGGAGACTGATATGTGAAACCTTAGGTCCCTCAACATGTCTATTTATATATGGGTAGAAATTTTAATAAAAATTTTGATGGGTAATATTTACAACAAGTTTAATTAATAGGATTAACATATAAAAAGTTATCGAATAGTTAATAATCAGTCGAATCAAATATACCTTTAGTTAAATTCTATTCGTTTATAAGCCGAATATTAAAAAATATTCATTTAGTATTAAATGAACTGTCGGATCGAATATGACCGAATATCTGGACGAATATTAGCCGAACTGTTTATTAAATATTTGGTTCACTTCCATCCCTAGCGGCACACAGAAGCTTAATGAAATGGGCCAAGTGACAGATGTATATGGGCCTGTATTGGGCTAACATAGCAAATATATGTCCCCTTTCCCCCTTTTTTTTCTAAATTTTTTTTTCCCCTTGCAGGAAACTTTTGAAGCTTATCGTCGTCTGCTTCTTCTACTCTCATCAGTTCAGAGCTCAACCGTCAAAAGACTCAAAACCCCTAAAACCCTAGATGGAGGTAATTCTTCTTCTCCCTCTTACCCTTCAAATTTTTTATCAGAAATTTCCAAAAATTCCAGTCCCATTCAATTCATTCATTTAATTGGGTTCTGCAGGTTGTGAAATTTATCCTCCTTTTTTTTAAAAAAATGCAAAATGATTAGAAATCATGTCAGTTTTGAAGAGAAACTGGGAAATATCACTGCTGAAACTTTATCTGTTCCTAAGTTCATTCATTTATGTAGAATTTTATATCATTTAGGGTTTGGACTGTTAAATTCTGATTTGGTGCATGTTTTTGACATTACATTTCAGAAACAAATACTGTTGATAGATTTCTAATGTTTGAAAATGTTACCATTCAATACTTACATTGTCAAAATCTGTGTTATCTTCCTTATAATTTAGCATCTTGTCATTGGAGAACCCTTAAACTCCATTGTTGTTATTGACATCTAGGTAATGTTAATAATTCATTGAGTACGCGAAGTTGGATAAAGGATGGCAGCTTGTGCAAACGCGTTGCTGTTTCAGGGTAGGTTCTTGTGTCATTTCTGAAAATATAATCTCTATGATGTGTATTCTCGAATCGTATAAAAATTCAGAACCAATTTGTTCGGCAGATAGTCTAGGCGGGGCTTTGCTGTCAGCTAAAGATGTTCGCACTGGAAACTCAAGTTATCTGAAGTATCAGGTGCGTGGAGTTTCCATAGTTTTATGTTCTTGAAACTTCTGAGCTCTTTTCAGTCTATGCTCAGGATGAAGCTATGTTAACTTCTTTCAAGTCTATGTGTTAATCTATATCTTGAAATTCCAGTCACAATTTCGAGGTGTATGTTGTCCGGTCAAAGTGAAATTTTTATTCGGACAAAAGAGAGATTACCCAAGACAAAAAGAACCATCTCGTCATATAAAATGCATGAACAAAGATGGACGACAATTTGATCCATCATCGGTTGAACAGCCTCCTTACCATAGCTACATGGATTCCACATCCGGGCAGCTTGAACCCGCATCCGGTGCCCGTGCAAGTATTCCGGGCAAAGATTACTGGCCTGAAGGCACAGTTAGCCGAGTGAGGGCTGCTCGTGCCCCTGAACCAGTCGGTAAATCAGAAGGCAAACCTTCTTTTGGCAAGAATCCTGGAAGCAGAAGGAAGAATTATAAGGGGCAAGCGGCTGCTCCAGAAATTGTAGAAACTAGTTCTGACTATAGTGATGCTCCTGATCCTATGCTTGAGAACTCGGATGATACTTCGGACGAGCCCAGAGATCCAAATCATGAGTTTGTTGTCTATCAAGCGGAAGAGGTGGAGGAGAACCTTAGTTCTTTTGAGATGGACAAAAGATTCGGTCGTCCTCACCCCTTTATTGATCCAGCTATTGATAAGCCTATAGAAGAACCTCGATCGAGTGAAGAGTTGTGGTGGAATTGGCGAAAACCTGAAAAGGATCAGTGGTCAAGATGGCAAAGGAGGCGTCCAGATGTTGATACGGTCAGTACTTCTTGATGGACAAAAGTATTTACCAATAAAATTACACCATCCCCATTGCTGGTATTTGAAAGTCATTTTTGTTGTTGGAACATGGTGTACTTGCTTGCAGGTTTTTGCAAAGGCTATGGCTGAGACTGGGCAAATAAAGCTCTATGGCGACCATCCAACATTAACTGAGACTGCTCTTGCAAGGGCAAGGAGAAATATATTCAAAGAGGAAAGGTATATTGACCAACAAAACTTTTGATGTTTACCATAGTCAGGCTAAATGTAGTGTATTTTCTGGCAGAAACCTTGAGTTAATTGTGCCAAATCTCTGACCATAGTTCCTTGAAACAAATTATGCACATCAAGAAAATTTATCTTAAGAAACTATGGTTAATAATTATGCATATTAAGGTTCATTGACAAAAAAACTTCTGAGGTATAGCATATTCTGGCTATAGCTCGAGCGCTTTCTTCATAAGCCCTTTGGTAAATTTTGCCAACATCTCTGTCCGTAGTTCCTTGAAACAAATTTTGCATAAGACAATTTGAAATATCCAGTAAATTATCTATAGGTATGCATATCAAGAAAGTAACTCTTGTAAGGATTATTTGAAAAGACTGAACTTCCATTTTATATACAAAAAACTTACTGACAATTCTCTCATGATTGTTACTACATGTTTTAGGCTAGAAGCTGAACGGAGAAGATTAGAAGAAATAGGACCAATGGCATATTACTCTGAATGGGTTAAAGCATGGGATAGAGATACTTCACGTGAAGCTGTCCAGAAGCATTATGAAGAAACAGGTGAAGATGAGAATGCCCAGCTCATCACGATGTTCCAGCATCAAACCGCTGAAGAATACCGCATCATGATGGGCACTGATATTCGAATTAAACGTGATCCTTTAGCAATGCGTATGCGAGAGGATCAAATAAAAGAGAGTATGATACAATTCTGATTATGGTGATATATTTGCCTTTAGTAATTGTGTTTACTTCGATGGTATGATTAACATAGGAGACTGCTATTGATAGCTGAACAACCACCTTCCTAATGTGCATGAATGACAATTGATATCCTCTTGTGCCAAATGGATAAGACATAGATATTTATTTTATTTCATGAATTAAATGAAAAACTGATGCATGCTATCGTGAAACATGCATTCTGTCGTGGCGATCACTTAGATTGCTCTCCTTTATCATGGTTTGTTGCGAGCTCAAGTCATAGGAATAATTGTCTTGCTGCTTCCTTAAAGTCATATGCCCTATTTCCACTTGGAACATCCTAGTTAGTAGCCATGTTACCTAATCTTAATGTGTAGAGAACATTGCTACACCCTCGATGCTGCTGTGTTGCTTTGATGTTCGCTTGTTTTCAAGGAGTTAATTGATGAAATCTTTGCAAAACTTGTTTTATCTTAGAATCACAGCTTCTCTAACATTTCATCTATTATCATCTTTTTTACCTACCACTTCATCTGTATTCTATGCACCATTAGCCTCCTCCTTTCATCTCCAAACTTATACTTACAAGTATTTTTTGCTTAAAATTTTTGAACAGCAACAACTACCCAAATTGCATCATCTTGAATTGATATTCTCAATCTGACATCGAGCTTGTTGTGTAGCATTTCCTTCTTCCCATATAAATTCTTTGGGTTAGGATAACAAATGAGTTTTAATTTGTTTTTTTGAAGTTAAGTTCCCTATTTTTTTAGAAAGGCAATTGCATATCAATCTTTTTTTTTAGCTATTAATTTTACCGACCTTGAAATAACCAAAGATATTAATTACTCTTTTTAGCACAAGTTTTCCCCTAAGATCTGGATCTTCCTGTATCCTGTTAGTTAGAACATATTTGACATGCTGTGCTCTCTAACTGTCTTTGGTCTTGCAGTATGGGGTGGTGATCCAGTGTACCCAACTATCAATTACATCCAAGATCCGGATGAAGTGATTGATTATAGAGGTGCAGATTTTCATGAACCTACACCCAACATGTTGTCTTATCTCATGGAGGTAAATATTCATTTTCTCAGTCTGGTGGAAAATATATAGCTTACATCATGGAGGTAAATATTCATGTGTTCAGTCTGGTGAAAAATATATAGCTTACTTCATAAAACTGGCTTGTGTTGTGGACATGCAATAGCTAAGCTGGCACCTTACACATTTGTCATTAAGATCTTTAATATCGAGTAGTGGAAAGTATAGATGTGGTTCTTGAAGCTTCTAAAACAGCCAAACTTTTATGTGTTTGCTCTTAGGACATTTTTACCAAGAAAAAAGCTCGTTGCATAGCCATTGCTGTTATCAATAATTGACCAGAGAGAGCATCTAAAAGCTCGTTTCTGGAAGAAGTGAATTTGACATTTGAGAAATGACCAATAAATGGTTAATCAAAACCGGAATTACCTCTTGAGTAAAACTTTCTTTGTGCTTTTTGTTAGTTCTCCATGTTCTTGCGGTACACATTTTAATAATTACTAGGTGGAATGCACGTGCATTACACGTGGTCAAATATTATAGTTATTTACTTTAAGTTTATTTATTTACTATAACATGGTTGTCAAAAACTTTATAATTATCGTAATATATTAATTTTTCTTTAGATATTTTCATGTGTGATTTTGACATTTTGTTTTTCAGAGAAATAGTGATGTTTAAAGCCTTAAAATATTAATAATTTAATATTAAATAGTAATTTGAATATATAGTTTCAAAATATCAATGATGTAAGGGACCAATATGGAAAAAACCTATTATTATTAATAAAAAAATAAATTCTTGAGTTTATTAAAGAATATGGTAGGTTTTATCTAGTCATTAAGGATTTTGTTCAGTTATAAAAAAACCACTTCCACTTGTTATTTACTTCCACCTATTGTTTATCTGGCGATCGAGTATTATAGATATTCAAGAAAATTTTTCTTGAATTTTCTAAGTTAGAATGTGCAAATTCAATCAAGAAAGAAAATTAAATTATGTGATCAATTCCAAAATCTGATGTTGTACTATTTTTACATCTTAATAAATACTAACTGATCTGTCAAAATGATTACTCTCTAGTTTCAAAAAATTATAAAATATAGTCTAAGAATAATTTGTACATATTATGCACTCATATTGATTGTATTTTAATAAAATAATTCATATCTATCCAAGTCAAACAACATTCAAAAATTTAGCTTAACGAGTTAGAAGAATATAATATTTGTAATAATACTCATATCCAAGCTATGAGCTTCATAAACTTATAAGAATGTGAGCAATATAAAATGACAACTTAATTTACTTTGGTAAATAATTTATTATAAATTATGAAAAACAACGGGAATCAGAACGATCATATACCCATCTCAAATAAATATTAAATTTTTCTTAGAGATTCTTATAGCAAAAGATTTTTAGAGTTGATGTGCAGGATAAATTTAAGGACATGTAATCCAAACCAATTCATTGAGTGATAGACTTGCTATAGACTCCACTCTTATAAAATTGATATCACATGCGCCTTAAGTTGTGCTTTTGTTTAAGAGTTAATTTTAGAAAACTCCCTCTCAACTATGGAGGGCATGACAACCCCCTCCCCCCCCCCCCCCGGCAAAACTATTTAAGACTGAGTAAACCTCTGCCAAGTTTTGTAGATAATCTATCTCAACTTAAAAAAATTTGATTTAACCCAATGAACTTTTCTCACTTAAACATAACCTCTCAAAACTAACATCATTAAGTCTTATCTATTATGTGACAAATACTTTACTTGGAAAGACCAACATATCAATCAATCATAAAAGAATTACCTAGGCTTTTGCCAGATAAAAGAGGTGATATAGAGGGAAAAAATTATAAATCGGTTGTGATCCTTTTATTGTCGGTTGAGGGTTTCTATTTAATTAAAATTGCTTTCTTCAAAATGGTATTTTGTCTAAATCACATATCGAAATAACTATGTTAAGGGGGTTTGTTGATAGAAGTGTAAATGATTAGAGAAGTTTTTATGAGATACACTATAGTTGAGAAATGTTTTCTAAAATTACACCAAAATGGAGAGGGGTTATCTATAACACCCCACATAATGAGGGGGTTTTGTCAAATTGAATCAATTGAGTAGGTTTTCTAAGACAATCCTCATAGTTGAGAGGGTTTTTAAAAAAATAACACTTCTTTTAAAATATGGCTTATATATAATTTGTCCCTCAAAATTTTAATAATTTAATATTAGTCCCTAAAATTATGAGCAATTGCAAAAATTTGTGGGAATAACATAGAATCATTGGATATTTAAAATCAAGGAACTAATATCTAAATAACATTTACATATTTGCTCTTATAGTCATTCTATTAAATATCGATTAGTATATTGCTATATCAGCCAATATATCGAGTTAAAGACTTTATCTTGGTAATATTTATTTTCTTTTGTTTGTTGATTTTTTGATAAATCGACCGTTATCGAAAATATGGCTGATATATCCTTTTGAAGATATCAAGAAAATCATGTTATTTTTTAATTTGATTGTAGGTTGGGGTTTGGATTGTGTTTGGGAAATAAAATCGGAACCTGCAAAACCCACAAAGGCCATAATTCTTCTCCCAAAACTCTCCACTTTAGGCTCTCCCAAATCTTTAAACATATATCTTGATGCAAATTCTTATGTTTAAAATTTATTAATATGTTAGACTACATATTACAATATCATGTTATATATGAATATTTACTCATATGACACCCAGTATTACATGCATATCCCTGATTTTTACTACCCGATATCATGGAATTTAGTTTTTCAATATTTATTTGATGTCCAACACTTTATAGTAGTCCTTAAAAATCCTCTTCTAAAGTTTTATAAGTGAAGTATATAATTTCAGGAAATAATTCAAAATCTTGAGACTCATTCAAAATATAATGCTTTAATCTTTTCACATATGCTCTACTATATAAATATAAGCTAAGCATCCGGTCTCATATTGTATGATAAATATAATTTTTCAATGGGATCATATACTAATGTTTATAGATAACAAAGGTTTCAAATCTTTTCTAGGCTTTATTTAACTTAAATACCTTGTAGTTTAGCAAAATTATACTTATATACCTCCACTTGTATCTTGCTGCACTTTTTTTTAAAATTTTAGATAATGTATCTTGATGCGCTTAAATATCCTAATGTTTTCTAAAATTTAATGTTTGTACCTTCTATCTTGTTACCTAAACATAAGAATCCTCTTTGTAATTTTCCTATATGAGTTTCATGGTATAATTTTAGGATAATTCTATGTTTTCTATTCTTTCCATAAATACTTTATTAACATGCAATTATCTATTAATATATTATTATACATTACTAATAATTAACATGGTGTAGAGTTTTATAATAACGTTGAAAGTTTTAAGGACCAAATTATGCAAACTTAAAGTGACATATAATGTAATTAATTAACAATGATGGTTAATTTAGTTTAGTTAGTATTAGAATGTAATGTCAAAAGAGAATAGGGATAATATAGTCCTTAGAAAGTTTTTCCACAACTCCCTCTTTTAAAGGGAGTATGACTAGGTGGAATACACGTGCACTGCATGTGGGTAAATAATTCAATTTTTTACTTTTAAGTTTATTTATTTATTATAAATGGTTGAAAAAAACTTTATAATTATTGTAATATATAAAAAAATTTGGATATTTCCATGTGTGGTTTTAATATTTTTTCTTTCAGAGAAATAGTTACACTTAAAGTCTTAATATATTAATAATTTAAAATTAATTAGTAATTTGAATGTATAATTTCAAAATATTAATGATGTAAGGGACCGATACTAAAGAAACTATTATTATTAATGAAAAATAAATTCTTGAATTCATCAAATAAAAATGGTAGATTTATCTAGTCATCAAGGATTTTGTCCAGTTATAAAAAACCACTTCCGCCTGTGGTTTACTTCCATTGTTGTTTATCCGGCGACCGAGTATTATTGATATTCAAAAACTTTGTTTTAGAATTTTCTAAATAGAATGTGCAAATTAAATCAAGAAAGAAAATATAAATTATGTGATCAATTCCAAAATATGATGTTGTACTCTTTTTACATCTTCCAAACTACTAATTGATTTGTCAAAATGATTATTCTCTAGTTTCAGAAAATTATATAATATAGTCAGAGAATGATTTATACATATTATGCACTCATATTGATTGTATTTTAATAAAATAATTCATATCTATCTAATGTCAAACAACATCCAAAATTTTAGCTTAAGAAGTTAGAAGAATACAATATCTGCAACAATATTCATATCCAAGCTATGAGCTTCATAAACTTATAAGAACGTGAGTAATATAAAATATCAACTTAATTTATTTTGTCAAATAATTTATTACAAATCATGAAAGACAAGAGGAATCAGAAGGATCACATACCCATCCCAAATAAATATTAAAATTCTCTTAGAGATTCTTATAGTAAAAGATTTTTAAAGTTGATGTGTAGGATAAATTTAAGGACAAATAACTCGAACCAGTTCATTGAGTAATAGACTTGCTATGAACTCCACTCGTATAAAATTGATGTCACATGTGCCTTAAGTTGTGTTTTTGTTTAAGGGCTAATTTTGGAAAACTCCCCCTCAACTATGAGGGGCATGTCAACCCACTCCACCCCCCTCCCGCACAAACTATTTAAAACTGAGTAAATCTCCGTCAAGTTTTGGGTGTTTTGTAGATAATCTATCGCAACCTTTAAAATATTGATTTAATCCCTATGAACATTTTTCACTTAAACCTGACCTCTCAAAATTAATACCATGGAGTATTATATATTATGTGATAAGTACTTGACTTGGAAAGACTAAAATATTCACCAACCATAAAAAAATTACCTTGGTTTTTACCAGATGAAAGAAAAAGAGGTGATATAGAGGGAAAAAGAATCGTAAATTGATTGTGGTCCTTTTATTATCAGTTGAGGGTTTCTTTTTTATTAAAATTATTTTCTTCAATATGATGTTTTGTCCAAATCACATATTAAAGTAACTATGTTAAGGGGGTCTGCGAATAGAAATGTAAAAGATTAGAGGAGATTTTATGAGATATGCTATAGTTGAGAGGTGTTTTCTAAAATTGTACCAAATTTGAGAGGGGTTATCTATAACACCCCTCATAATAAGGGAGTTTTGTTAAATTGAATCAGTTGAGTGGGTTTCAAGACAATCCCCATAGTTGAGAAGGTTTTTAAATATTAACTCTTCTTTTCAATATCACTTATTTATAAATTGTCCCTCAAAATTTTAATAATTTAATATTAGTCCCTAAAATTATGAGCAATTTTAAAATTTTGAGGTAATAACATAAAATTATTGAATATTTAAAATCAAGGAACTAATATCTAAATAACATTTACATATTTTCTCTTACAGACATTATATTAAATATCAGCCGATGTATTTCTATATAGACTAATATATTAGGTCAAAGACTTTATCTCGATGATATTTTATATTGTTTTCTTTTGTTTTGTGTTTTTTATATGTTGACCGCTATTGAAAATACGGCCAATATATCTCTTTGAAGATATCGAGAAAATCATGTTATTTTTAATTTGATTGTGGGCTCGGGTTTGGATCGTGTTTAGGATACAAAATCAGAACCCACAAAACACATGAAAGGCCACAATTCTTCTCCCAAATCTCTACACTCTCGACTCTTCCAAATCTTAAGCATATATCTTGATGCAAGTTCTTATATTTAAAATTCATTACTATGTTAGATTACATATTACAATGTCATGTTATGTATGAATATTATCTCATATGACACCCAGTATTATATACATATCTCTAATTTTTACAATCCGATATTGTAGATTTTATTTGTTCAATATTTATCCGATGTCCAACACTTTGTAGTAGTTCTTCGAAAGCCTCTTCTAAAATTTTCTAAGCGAAGTATATAATTTCAGGGAATAATTCAAAATCTTGAGACTCATTCAAAATATGATGCTATAATTTTTTCACGTCTCATTACTATATAAATATAAGCTATGCATGTGGCCTCATATTGTATGATGAATATTATTTATCAATGGGATCATATACTATTGTTTGTGGATAACAAAGTTTTCAAATCTTTTAAAGGCTTAACTGAACTTAAATACCTTATAATTTATCAAAATTATACTTATATACCTCTACTTGTATCTTGCTGTGCTTTCTTTTTAATTTAAGATAACGTATCATGTTGCACTTAAATGTCCTAATGTTTTCTAAAATTTTATGTTTGTACATTTTGTCCTATTACCTAAACATAAGAATGTTGTTTACATTTTCTTATATGAGTGTCATGGTATAATTTTAGGATAATTCCATGTTTTCTATTCTTTTCATAAATTCTTTACTAACATGCAATTATCTATTAATATATTATTATACATTATTAATAATTAATATGATGTAGAGTTTTATAATAACATTGGAAGTTTTAGAGACCAAATTATACACATTTAAAGTGACATATAATATCATTAATTGACAATGATAAATTAATTTAGTTTAGTTAGTATTAGAATGTAATATCAAAAAAGAATAGGGGTAATATAGTCCTTGAAAAGTTTTTCCACAACTCCCTCTTTTAAAGGGAGTATGATTTATCTAATCCAAACATGCTTATTAGTAATTTGGCATGAAATTTCATGTTAGCCGTGCATGCATTAAAGTGACTGCAGTGAAATTACATATTAGATTCTTACTTTGAGTTTTTCTTTAATTGTTTATCTAATACATTGATGCTTGCAACTAATTGGGCGTAAAGTTATATGATAGATGCATATGTATCCAAGGACGTCCAATGAATTTGTAAATATGCTTCATGCTTACATTCATTTTCCCAACTTTCTTTTGCCCTTCCCTTGTTTTTTTTTCCTTTGTATTTTACTTATTTATTTGTTTTGTCAATGTAGTTTCAATTCGTTAAGAAGACAAAAAGAAGAGTGAAGAATGGGTTTCTTTGATCAGATTCTTAACTAGCTTTGAATGGATTTCACTATACTATTATCTTCTGCTTTATGTTCTACTTTTTGATAATATTATTCAATTCAGCAGTTGCATGGTCGATCATTCTGAATATATCATTAATCTGCTTCATGGAATGCTATCTCGCTTTATGTTCTTTAAAGTTGTTTGTACTTCTTTATTGATGCTTACCACTAAAATGTGCTAACCGAAGGTCTGGTAATGTCCTCAAACTCTATAATCGACAACATCTTATAGTTGGATTTTGTGTGTGACTTTGGTCCTTTCTCTTTTTCAGCAAGGCCATATTATTTCAAGGGAAGAACTGGAGAGTATTTTGGCTAAAGAGAAGAAACAAGAACTTGAGGTTAAAGTTGTTTCTCCGTTTCTCTTAGAAGTTTGGAAGGGAATCTAAATTATCAGCTATATGCATTTAATTTCACAAACACCTTGCCTTTATATTCATACTAAATGAGATGTGCAAGTCTTGCTGATGCATATATGAATTCAGATTACAGATATAGATGAAGCCATGGCAAGTGCTGTTGATATTGGCGAGAACGATGTGAGTGGAACTTGTTTTCTTTGTTTATTGTTTGTGATATTACCATTTATATCTCCTTTTCTCTTAGCATTCACTATAACATGCGACAAAGAGGCATGATACGCCAGGGAAGTTGCATGTTAATGTTGTGTACTTTGCTCCTTTCAAATAGGATGAAGAAGACAGCGAGGAAGAAGAGGAGGAAACTGAAGAAGAGGAGGAGAAAATAACCCGCAATTGGAGTGTTCTGAAAAGCACTCCTGAACTCCGCAAATCAAAGGTACATCTGGATACTGACCACTTGAATATTCTATCTGCTGTTTGCATGGAGAAATTCTTTTATGGACCTATTGTTCCATTATCCTGTTTGTTTTATTTTTATCTCACATGAGCAGGCAATACATCGTGCAATATGAACTACTTATAATGAACTTGTTAATCCCTCTAATTATCTTCATCGGTAATAGTGTTAAGCTAGTAAACCAAATTCCCATTGTTTGTGCATTGATCCCACAGGCAACATCTCTTAAGAAAAGAAAAAGTTTGTCTGATGTTATAAACTATGTCATCAAATTGGAATTGATTTTCGACACATTGGAATTGATTTCTTTGCATATGGAAACATCTGGTTTAACAAATTCAGTTTCTCCTTATACGTGCACTATTTAACTCTGCTGAGTAATCCTAATATCTGAAAATTTTGCAGGAAAAGCCGAAAAAGAAAGAAGGCCCAATGACAATCGAGGAGGCTATAGATGATTCAGAGAACTTGACTGATTTCCTGATGGACTTTGATGAAGAGGAGTGACAATTTTTTCAGTCTCAAAGAGGTACTTGCTATAAAACTGGTGAATAGTATTTCCATGCAACGCTGTGTATATGAATAATGCAAAGATAAAAGGTGACATCTATAATATCATGTTGTTTCAAGAATCTTCATTAAAAAGTGTGTTTTCAGAAGCATGTAGAGAATTATGCTTTTCAATTTACTGGTCCACTTAAGACACAGAACGAAAAAAATGAAATTGAGCTATCCAGTGTAAAGTCATTTGTAGTGCATCCATGTAGCAGGTTTAGAATCTCAACGTGCTCTCTATTATGTAGTGCATTTTATTTGACCATAAAAGAATTAGTCACATGTTTACTACATTCTTAAGTTATTAAAGATTTGGTAGTAGAGTTTGTTTTGTGAAGATCAGTATATCTAATTACTTTGCTTTATCTCTATCAGATTTGGGAACCATGAAAATGTTAGTTGAATATCTATATACTTTAAGGATATATCAAATTTGATAGTTGAGTTTGTTCTATGGGATCTGAGATATCTCAATGCTTGATCTTGAATATGCGACGCGGAAAATAGCAAGTTTGCTTGGAGCATGAAATCTCATATCTTAAACTTGCCATTCCAGCAGGTTTTCCCAAAGGAAGAAGTTTTCATGGATAAGGACCATAAGTTGTATCTCTAGTTTCACTCCAAATAGAGGTTCATTTCACTTGCTCAACAGTCACGTAAAGCGACTACTGAAATCACTGAGAAAGTTGTACATAAAGGTGGTCTTTGGTATTGCTGATTGTGCATTATCAGTGTAAAATGCAAAATTTATATAGTTAGGAGAGAGAGTAAAAGAAATCCTCGTGTTCATTTGCTTGGTGGCAGAAAGTTAAATACTGGCCCTAAATTATAATGTGCAGAGGCATCTTAAAAAACATTAAACTAGAAAAATGAATGTTTCATGCATCCAGATGAAGATGATGTTTCCGTCTTTTATAGCGTGCAAATTACTTCACGACTAAGAAAATTATTAAATCAGAAAAGGGAATGCTTCACATCACGCACCATGACAAAGAAGATTTTCCTGTCTTTTGTAGTGTACATTACTTCACAACCTAGGAAATTAACTTAAGTAAATAAGAACAACAGAGACGACAATGAGAAGAGTTGGTGAACAATAATGGTTGGGGAAAATACCCAGCAAGAATCGGAGATGTTTTGTTAGAAGCTTATTAATCAAACGCAGAGAGTATTTCCCGCCTTTACTTTAAAAAATAAGAATCTGCTTATTTGCTTTCAGGTTACTGTTGCAAAGTGGGCAAGCAGAAGCGCGGACAAGATCAAAGCCTTTTATGTGGTACTTATGCCAAAGAGCTCGGATGATCAAGGATCAATATTGACATGAGCACAATGTTGGATCCTCTGATGCCTTTACTTTCCTGTCTCTCCATTCTTCTACTTTTGTATTGGCTCTTAAAAGAGTCCATGGTAGTGGAGCTTGTTAGGCCTGCCAATGGAGCTTTGTATGTGTAATGGATGGTCATATGAATGAAAATGTCATGGCAGAAAATGTGAGATTATACATAGACTAAAGAAACAACCTTTGTTGTAACATGTTGAAGGGACTTAGAGATGGGAAGGTGAACCTTGCTTAACGGTTTCATTATCTCGAAAAAAAACTGAATTTTGGTTATGTATTTCTCAAGTAAATGTGTGTGAATTTGACTGTTGGGGAGTCTAGAATTTAATGTGGTTCCAAGAGCAATGCAATTTCAAGAGCAAATATTGGAGGTGCAGCACATTCATCTATTTGACATTCATTGAATAGATATCAGTTATCGGTAGTCTTACACATAGTGGATAGTATAATTGTTGCAGGGGAATTCTAAAGAGGAGTTTGTAAAGCTATTGGGAGAAATGAAGATAAGACTAATGGTGAGATCCGACTTGCTAGTCACTTTGGAACGGATAGATATCGTCGTCCTTTTTATCTCTTGAAAAACTCTCAATTTGTGCAATAAATTGGCACTTCATCATAACGTTCCTTGTATCTAAACTACGGTGACGTGTATGTTTGCACAAAGTCACAGTGCATTGTTTTGCCAAAGCAAAGAGCAAAGTGGTTAAGGAGACCCGGGGTTTTACCGATTAGCCAACTCAGCCCGTCTGTACGCACACTGGTTCGAGTCCCTCTGGGTTGGCCCTGCATGTCCCCGGTCACATGGGGGTGGGCCCCTCATATGAGAGGAGGGTGTGCCATGTGCGGGAGTGCGGACTGGGGTATTCGAACTATGGAAGCTAGGCGGACTCCAAAGGAGTAGAGTTGAGCGAGCTAACTGGGTTCCCTTTTATCAAAAAAAAAAAAAATAACAAAGTGAACCTCCTTAGATTAAAATAAAAATAGAGCACAATACATGACATCTGGTTTGTAAAAAAATCAAGCCCAGAACTATAAAAGCAACGAAGTAAATTAAACCAAGAGGTTCGAACCTTCTGAAGCTTGAAATTGTCGAGCACTAAATACGTCACTCGCAAAGAACATTTTGATGGCTGCACCAACAGCGGTTTTCGCGGTTTGAAAATATTACTGCAATTCCCTGAAATTTCAACAGTCCGCCTAAATAATTATGCTGGAGATGTTGATGTTACGATGTAGTTGACGACACGCTCTGCTCTAACGATGCACGTAAACTAACGTGTACTTTACAGCGAATCGTAACTCCTCAGTTGATTGCATTTTGACCAAGAAAATGCCCACAATATATCTAGAAGAAAAGTGGCTACAAATTGCAACCGTCCAATTAAAAAGTTCTCATTTACTTGGTCCTTAAATTCTACAATTTAAGAGTAGTCCCTCAAATCATTGAGATTGCTATTAGTGTCTATCAAATCATACGGAAATCCCCCTAGTTATCTAATGTTAGAACTCGGGGAGTAATCCCTCAAATTTAAGAGTATGTTCGATTCGGCTGATTATTAACTATTCGATAAATTTTTACGTTTTAGCCCTATTAATGAAACTCATTGCAAATATTAGTTTTTACATATCTAAATTTTAACTTACAAATGTTACCCATATAAATACTAAAAGATGGATTCTAGGGCTGTCTCTTCTTTCTGCCTCCAACCTATTTCCATTGGTTCTTTTCATTGTCTGTAGATTGTGCATTCTCTTCTCTCTTCCCAGTC